GGGGGTCTCTCTAAAAAATACAAAAAAACTTAAGCCGGGCAGGGGGGTTTCACCGGGTTAGCCAGGATGGCCTCAATCTGCTGACTTTGTGATCCGCCCGTCTCGGCCTCCCAAAGTGCTGGGATTACAGGCTTGAGCCACCGCGCCCGGCCGTTCATGTTATATTCTAATGGAGCATGTGAGAAGGAGAAATATTCTATTGTTTTGTTGTTTTATAGACACCATCAAGAGAAATTGGAGGCTAGTAACTGTGATCACCCGCAGAACTCACCTACGCTAGAAAGGCTTGGAAGGAAGAGGAAGTGGACTGAAAAACAAGATTCTAGTCAAAAGAAATCCCTAGAGCCAAAAACAAAAGGTTTGTATGTTTTAGCAGGACCCACGGACTAGAGCTGATAAGATTCTATAGCTTGGCCGGGCGCGGTGGCTCAAGCCTGTAATCCCAGCACTTTGGGAGGCCGAGGCGGGTGGATCACGAGGTCAGGGTCTCTATAAAAAAAAAAAGAATGGGCCAGGGCCCGCGTGGCTTCAAGCCTGTAATCCCAGACTTTGGGAGGCTCACGACCGAGCGAATCAGAGTCCAGGAAAAGATCGAGAAACCAATCCCCGCCTCCCGTTGGAAACGTTTCTCTACTAAAAAAATATACCAAAAAACCTTAAAGCCCGGGCCGAGGCGTGGGGGGCGGGCAGCCTGTTAGTCCCAGCTAACTTTGGGAAGGTGAAAAGGGGCAGGAGACATGGGCCGTGAAACCCCGGGAGGTCCGAGCGCTTTGGGTCCCCAGTGAAAGCCCCGAACGATTCCGGCCACTTTTGCCACTCAGCCTGGGCGACCAGAAGTGAGAACTCCGTCTCAAAAAAAGAAATTGACACAGTTTCCAAACAGTTTTTTTTTTTGAAGAATCAAGATTTCCCCCAAAAAGAGGAAACCTAGGACCACCTCCAACGATTGGGAGACACACTGGCGGAGGAAATAATCCCTCCCAGTGCCCCTTTAACCTCGCCTCCTTACGCCTTCTTCATGAACTAATAAGGGAGGGGGGGCCATTCCCAGACAACCACCAAGTGGGTTGCGATGTAAAACGAAATAAAAAGGCCAGCCCCCATATGGCGGGGGGCTGGAAAACACCTGTAAAATCCTGCCACTTTGGGGAGCCAAGGCAGGAAAGGGAAAACTGCCTTTCGGCCAGGCGAATATCAAAAAACAACCTGGCCCAAACAATTTAGTTGGGAGACTCCATCTCTAAAAAAGCCAAAAAAAATAAGGCCCAGGCCGCCATGGGGCCTCTACCCCTGGTTAAAAATCCCGCCAAAGACTTTTTGGGGGAAGGCCGAGGGGCGGGGCCAGAATTAAACAAAAAAAGGTCAAGGGAGTTGGGAGACCAATCCTGGGCCCCTTAACATGGGTGAAACCCCATTCCCTCTACCTAAGAACCTTAACAAAAAAAGAATTAAGAAATGGGCCATGGGGGGCGGCCACCTCTGTAAGTCAGCCTGCTGCGAAGCTGCGCCCCAGAGAATCGCGAGTGAGCACATCGAGGACCGAAACAACAGAAAAGAATAGGCCCTGGAAGACAGGGGATGGCACTGCCTTCTAGCCTGGGGGCCGGCGGCCACGCTGGCCATAAACAACCGGCACTGGGGCTTATATGCTCAAGCCCTTTACTTTTTTTTTTATTATAAATTTACTTTTTTTTTTTTTTTTGAGCCGGCGGTCTGCTGTGAGCCCCCGGCTGGGATGCCAAGTGGGCGTGAACTTTCGGCTCCCTGCCACGCACTCTAGCAAAACATTCCGAGCAGTCGCGCTATTCCTCGCCGGCCTGCAAAAGCTCCCAAGTACAAGCTTGGAGACCTACACGGCCAACCCCGCCAACCAACGCCGCCTAACGTTTTTTGTATTTTTTTTAGTTAAGAACGACGGGGTTTCCACCCATGTTTTACCAGGGGATGGTCCCCACACACACAATACACAAGAACAATACACATAAACCACCATCCGTGATCCACACACGCCTTCGGACACCTACCACAACGTGACCTGGGATAATTACAAGGCCTTTGAGCCACCAGGCGCCGCGGACAATGGACCTAAAATAGAATTTATAAATCAGCTCTAGTCCGTGGGGTCCACTTGGCCTAAAAACAATAACAAAAACCCCTTTTTATGAAATATTTTAGGCTCATAAGAGAGGATT